CATCTTGCCTACTATCTTCCGTCCCGAAGGCTGAGACTTGATATACCAATGGGTATTTAATGCACTGAGCCACATTTTCGAACCAGCAATGTATGCGTATCCCTGCTTGTGCGAACAAGGCAGAGGTGATTCTTTGCTTCTTGTTGTCTCCTTTGTTGTTGAAAATGTGCGTTTTCCAGTTGTTACATATCTTAGTAAAGGAAAACGCTACGTGTACATTATCGTTTTGCATCGATTTATCACATCCACACTATTCTAACCTAGTTCCCCCCCGCGTCGGCTCTGGGAGGTTGCGTGCGCCGAAATTGCACATTCAGGACGAGAAGTGATGTACCACAGCCGCACTTGATGGTAGTGAGTTATGCATGTCATAAACGGATGCTGGCATCTGCCCTCCATTCGCATTTACCTCGTCCCCATTGACGACAGAACTGAAGCAGCGGTGTGCTGACAGTCCCGGCCCGGCTGCGTCGATCGCGGCGACTGCTGCGACGGCGGTCTCCGGCACGGCGGGCTGATTGACCCGCCTCTGTCGTAGCATAATCTGCCGCATTCCTTGGTAACTGAGCGCGGCTCCCGCCTCGCCTTGCGCCAGGTGATTGAAAATTTGGCGGTTTGTCCTCCCCTCTACATCATTTTGGACAGCAGTCCTAATTGCCGACGTCACGCTCAACATCTGAAAAGAGGAGGTGCATTCAGATCAAGTTTCTCCTATATATTCGCAAAAGTTCTTTCTGCAAAACGCCGGAACATGCCCTCTCGCATGTGGTCGAAAAGACGCCGGTATGGTCCGAGCAAAAATTTGTAGTAGGGGTATATGTGCAGCGACCTGTGCTGCGCGTCTGGGTAACAAAAAATGTAGACAGACTTGCGTTCTTCATTGCAATTATTTTAAAAAGTGTAGCTATTGCAAAATGCGTCATATAACCGCTGCAAGCTGTTCAACAATCAAATATCGCTGGCGTCCCTACCCACGAAAAAAACACGTTGAGGGGTGTCTCATAGATCCATTTCATGCAAGGTGTACCCAAGCGTGAATCTGCAGTATCCTGCGAACAGGGGTACCCATACATACATACAGCGCGAGTCCTCAGCACTGAATGGGTGTCCTCAATGGGGATGGGTGTCCTCATCACATACCTCGTTATCCAGGTGAAGTGGAGCATGAGTATGCGGCCGGTTTAGGCGGATGCGCCCACCGTTCAAAACGGCCGTCCCCAAGCATCTCACTGCAGTGTTCTCACGCTGATGGCACCTGGTGACATACACGAGATAGCTGTCACACGCCACATTGTGTGCTTCATAATGGATGGCAAGCAGAGCGTAAAAGACAAAAACAAAATGGCATCTGTTATAATGCTTTCATACTTGAACACAAAATGGGATAATCTGTTCACTACTCGTGTGTCGTGGGCTGAAAAGATCAAGCAAAGTAAAAAAACAAACGAATACGTTAAATAAGTGGTTACACGCGTCACAGTCGTTCATCTAGCATATACGCTACTGGCATCATGGTAAAAGATTGAACATGGCCTCATGTTTCCTTGCATGGCCTCACATGACCTATTGCGACCTCATGCATTGGAATGATATTACTACATGTCCTGACTGGAACCAGAGGAGCGTCATTGCGCGATGCGCAATTTGCGTATTGTGTACCGTTTTATTCGGTGTGGTCGCTTATGATCTGACCGCTAAGGGGTCTCGTCCTTTGATTACATCAAACACTTTTATGGCCGGATCTGACCATGCCAAAAATTTGATACGATGACCAACTAACTTGCCTTACCAACTTAGCCTTACCAACCAAATAACCAACCAACCTAAGATGACCAACTTAGCCTTACCGCACAAAGAATGCTACTCAAAATGACCAAAAGGAATTGTTTACAGCATGTATCTCAGCGTTCTCCCCGCACCTGCTTCAGTCCTGGCCCCTCCCCTCCCATTGCATTGGGCTATTCTAAAATATATCAGGGCATCATTTACCCAAGAGTTCCGGATGACTCGATGTCAGCTACCGCATGACAAATCTGAGTGTTCCCCTAGGGATACCTTTCACAAACAACACTTCATAAAATTAGCCGGCTTATGCATTGTGAACGACAGCTCGCGCCAACTGAACGCGCTGACCATGCGCTGTCGGACTGCTGCAGAATAGTGTGCACTAGAAATGTGTGCGCACAGGCTCTTGTGCTTTAGTCTCACTGTTGTTTTCGTCCCGCATCGCCATGGTCCAGGCAGCCGAATGGCCACTGGCATGTCTAAATCTTTTCCGCGCTTGAATGTGACATACGGCATATGTGCGGTAGACAGTCCAAATTAATCGTTCAAAGACGTTAAGCCGGCTGCACACAGAAACGGACATTAACGCTACTGCATTTGCTTGCCGTTGTCTCAGAGAATCCTTTTCGCCGTGTTTAGCTACAACCGCGGCATGCCCATTGATACGCCTGAATATCTTCCGCGCGGAGGACGGGCAGAAACTCGTGATTTCAAGGCCGATGCGCAGTCGACGATATGTCTGCAAATCTTGGCGGCAATTCGCATGACCTTTGCAATGACGGATGTTTGTGGTAATTGCAACCAAACCATGGCGAAATGAAAAAAAGGTTTTGGGTGAACACTGATCGCCGTAAACCGGGCTTTGCGCCTGTATCATTTTTACAGCCCGGGCTCGTACCGTTTAGGCTTCAGTGTCATGTATGTGATATTAGCTTGGAAAAAACCGCAATGGGTCGCTTCCCGGCCGTCTGCCAGCGTGTTCTTGCCAATTGGCCTCTTTCAACTGACCAACGTCACTGATCTTAGAACATCATAATTCCAAATTTGTTCAAAGAATGCCAAATTGATAGATGAAGAGATGTTGAGAACTTCGCGTTGCTGCGAGCGTTCTTTTTTGGCCTGTGCTCCAAGAACAGTAAGGGAAGTCAACTTCCCATCACGACCGGGCGTGGGTTGTCGCATGAGTAAATTGGATCGGCACACTCTTAGATGCAGAATTTAAGCGTAATAGAGTAAATGTTTCGTTGCTTCGCGGTGAAAATGTTAACAGCGCAGCAACGCATCATTGCATCAGCGCATGCGCAACCTCAGCCAAGCCCGGGCGAATAAAACACTGCTATAAGGTGAAGGGTTTGGGTACTCACTGGAGATATGTGCTGAGTCCAATCTTGGTTTTCGAAACGTAGATGTGGCCGTCAGCACATGCGTAGACGCGGCTGCCCCGTCGCCTACCTTCCCGCACCTCATACTCCATGATAGTCTTGAGGGCAAGGCGTACCACAACCAGGACCGTGTGATGGCGCGATCACAACTGGCGCGATAATGCCGCGAGCGCACCGGCGCAGGGTCACCCTTTTATGACGCCGGCGAAAAATAGCTTTTCCCTCTGAAGACACCCAGACGATGTCCCCATGCGTCTAGGAGTCGCGTCCGATTCGGCCGACCGGGTACTCGCACATCCGTGCCGGTGGCGTGGTTTTCGAGCCAGCATTGTGCAATGCGACACTCCCCAAGACACTGTACCGACCGCGTAGCTCGAATCGCAGCAAACACGCCGCCAGGTTCGCAGCGTGTTCTTTCGCAGTTTTGCCCGATACGATTCCGACCAGCATATGCCGCATGTCTTGAACGTTGTTGACGTGTCTTGGTGTCCTCCGCGTCGCTGCGTTGCTTCTCATAAACATATTTTCAAATTTATTCCCTGACTTCTAGTACCGGCATGTGAAAACTGACTTGAATGACGACACTGATCTAGCATAACCTGGCTAACGTTTCACTTCGCAAAAACATGCCGCGTACGGTAGATGTTGACACGGACCTCATATTATCATTTACAAAATTATTTCGAGCGCTTTTTATCATTTCGTTGTTCCAACCGTCGAAATGGTAAGTAACCTGAAATGCTCACGAGTGATCCTTTCCTTGGAAAATGATGATGATGCCTATCTGAGCTTTTTGGGCGAATCGACTGTAGGTGGTCATGCAGCACCCACAACTATCATATTCTACAGGGCCGTAAACTAAACAGGAGTATCAAAAAAATCTTATTTAGTCTTGGCCAGGCATTATGTCATCGTGAAAATATCACCTAAAAATCTTATTGGTCGCAGGAGCGAGGGAAGTTGTCAAGAATGGGGAATGGGTCAGAGGCATTTGAGTCGTTTCTTTCCATGTACCGCCGGAAGCCTAGTGCTGAATTATCTCAGTTGCTGGGAAGTAGAATATATCCCCCAAGGTCCTCTCCCCCCCCCCCCCCCCCAATAACGCCATCGTTACCTCGCCTATGCTTGGTCATATCGTCCCCACCCCGGCGTCCCGGTTGTTATGGTGGCGGCTGGCGGCCGGGGGTTGTTTGGCCCGTCCCGTTGCGAAGAGGTGGCTGCTCCCCCCCGCCGCCCCAGACAAGTTGGCGCGTGGGGAGGACGGCTCCTGGAAGTGTTTTGGTGAGCGTGCTGGGCGCATCGGTGAGAGTGCATTGTGCAATATCATTTCCGTTTCGTTCATTGTGCTGTCGTGTGGCAGGACTCTTTTATATTGACTTGTTGTCTTTGATAACACCGGCCCACTTGCAGGGCCGCGCCATGTTGCTTGGAGAGCGAAAAGCCTTCCAATATTGTGCATCCTTGCCCACTTAGTGACGTGGAAACCCCTCCTATAGTAACATGAACCTCAATTAAAAAGTCGGTTCCAGTCATTGTGTACAGCGTCATATAAGGCTTATTTATGTATGGGTAAGAAATCTCTCTCCCCTCATTGAAGAAGGCTTTAGACGAGGTCCTGGGCCTGCGTGATTTTTTTCTTGTGCAACAATACATTTGCGATATATCTCGCCTGTTTCTTTTGATGTACTTGCTTGCAATATGCGAACGATGCGTTGTTGGTGTTTTCGGCTTGCGGCCCTTTTTGCGTATTTTCTCCGGCAGGATAAAGCTCGCTGTTGCGGATATTGATGACAGCGGTATGGACATCAACTTCAGCCCTTCGTTAGCTGGGGAGGTGCTCCGCTGTTGAACTGATGGGCTGCTGCTGAGAACGCAGCTACTCTGCTCTGGATGGCTGTTTGAGGAGTGCTGCTGGCCGCCCGGAAGCTTTCAGTCTGCCAGCAAGCTGGCACGGCAATCAGAGGCCTCTGCCAGTCATCTGGTGCTGCTCCAGAATCATCATTTTTAGGAAAGTAGGCATTGTGCCATATGGGCCCGTAATGCTCAGTTCGTGCTTCACGAACAATTCTGCCAAAATCTACGTCGATGATTTCCTTGCCACGATTATTGGTAACTCCATACCATGGACATGGCAAAGATAAAATCTGCTATATTTCTCTGAGCACTTTCGCAGGCAACAGTAGCAAACCAAGTTTTCGAATTGTGTCATAAAAAAGGAAATTGGCACTCTTTTTCACACAAAGCATTCTCACAGCAGTCTTTTTCAAACTGGGCTGGCGGTGTTTGCCAGGAATCTGCTGTTTTATTCTTTATTGCATGTATTTTTATTAAGTGCACCTTTTCATCCTTGGCTGCTTTCGTTGCCATCAGCCACAATCCATTCATTCCGGGGGCAAACAGCGGGTGCCTTAAACGACCCAAACTCACCCTTTAATGACTGAAGTGGATCGGAAACCAACCGCTTTAGAATAAGAAATTACTATCGAGATAATATCGTATTCTCACATCGACCGATGACAGTCACTATGCTCCAATCTGTTTGATCATGACAATGACAAGCTTGTTAGCATCGTCCTGGTGAATTAAACTACAACGCTTCATTTCTTTTTATGGATTATGCCGTTATCTCATAAATGGCACCATGGATGGTTTGGTGTCGTTATTGTGACCGTATGAAGACTAAGTCAAGTCTGCTTTCAGGCAAGCACTCCATGCAAGAGGCCTTACGTAAACATTTCCCATACAAGTACCCCGAGCAAGTGCGTGTGTAGTGCATTTCTGCACTGCTATTCGGCATAGCTACGTTCGTTATTATCAACCTCGGCAAATGGCTTAACATAAAATCAGTTCTTTTGAGTAGTAAACTCTGTTTATATGAAAAATCATCGTCGCTCACGTTGTGGAGCAGTAATCTGAGGAACCAAAGATCGTTATTTTCAGGGGCCATCCTGCGCAGCACACCGCGCTACGGTGTCTCCCGCAACAAAACGAAATAGGTAGCAGGAAAATGGTTTCCGCTGGAGAGACCGCGACGACGGCACGAAACACTGCGCTGACGACTGCACCAACGGCAACGCATGGCATTCGTTGAATAATTCGGTGATTATCGCATTGGGCATGATAACAGAAAAGTGTATGTTTTGTGCAATGGGCGACTCTGGACATGGTGTCCGATAATCTGCACTTGCGTTGCAGCAAGTTGGTGGCAAGCGACAAGCAGGTGATGCGCAGTCAATAGGTCACAGCATCGACCGCAAGGCGGTCTGTCGCAAGCCAATGCTATGGCGGTGTGTAACATATGTGTGTCATATGCGTTGTTGGCACAGGGCAAGTTCCTCCCTCGTATTGTTGCGGAAACGCAACTGCAACTTCCGATACGGGGTTTCACTGAGTTCAGCTTGTTGGCGCTGTCCCAGTGGTGCGCCGCCATCGCTCCCGCATAAAAGACGACACCACGGCGTACGTGTCCTGAGTTGGTTGTGGTATTACAGGGGTGTGTGTCCCAATCGTAGTGCGATTTGCCGCGGCATCAGCAAGATCATTTCCTTAGATCCCCACGTGACTTGGGACGCAACACAGTAGCGGACCGTTTTTTCTGTTCGAACCAGAGGGGTAAGACGTGTCTGAATGTCCTGGACCCGTAGATTCGACGTGGAGAAGCCGCAAACAGCCAGGAGGCTGCTCATGGTGTCGGAAAGAGCCAAATGAAGATCGCTAGCGCCAAGTTTTTAAAACAAAGTTTTGATGATGGCTGTCAGCTCGGAAGTGAAAACTGACGCGTGTGTAGCCCGCGCAAATGGCCGTGTTTTATAGCCACATACAACAGCGCTTCCTATACCTGCATGCGTCGTAACACAATCCGTGTAAGTCGTCAAATATCCGTCAAAGAAGACCATGCACTTTAAGGCCGTGTTTCCAAGTTCTATCGCGATTACGTTGTTTTCGTGTTTGATAAGGAACGTCCACTTTTGGCGACGCTTGCTTCCAAGGGGCAATTCCTTTCTTTAGATTTGATTACACCTCATAAGTTGAAGCCGCCACATTGTCGTGACTGTTGGAGTGGCTTTCGTAAGTCGCACGGAAATACTGCTTTGTAGATGGAATAATCTGGGAACTGCGCTAGCTTGCACGTGTGGCTCAGTCCCAGCACCTGCCTTCGCAATGCTAGTGGGGTGCTCCTGAGCCTCTACCAGGAGACTATCATGTCAATGATCATGACTATATATGATATTCGCCTGCGGTTTCCGCAAAACAGACAAACCTATTCCACGGGACCGGCGATTGATCGTGGGACGTAACCGGTTATTTCTGCGCCCTGCATCAAATGTCGCCTTTGAATGATGGCAGGACGCACTGCCGTTGTATTAAACAACATTGCATTGTATCGAACACTGACAAACGGTCGGTGCCGGCCAAATCAATTCTCCTGACCCGCGAACACAAGACGCTCAATCTATGCCACGTGATCTATTTCACATGGCTGTGAATGTGATAGGTTTGGACGTTTGGACGTCCAAACCCTCTGACCTGTATTCATGAGAATGCGTGAATACAGTAGAAGATTCACGTGAATGCTTCGCAATGCTAATGGGGGCTCGTGCGCTTCTACCAGACGACATGGACGACGTTCGAAAAGCCCCTGTGGTCATGCGTAGTGCGACGTAGTGCACCGTGTTCAAAGTGCGTTTGCAGGTCTGTTGTACCGTCATAAATAAAGCAGTTGTAGTCAAGTCTTTAAAGAATGAGGGAACGACAGAGGTGAGAGCGTACTCCTATAAACACCGTATGACGTACGTCCCACGGACGCTAAGGTGTTAAGGGATTTTAAACATTCGTCGCGGAGGCTTTTGTGTGCATTCAGTATGTTACCTGTCGGTCAAATCGTATACCTACAGATTTTCTTGGAGAGGGTACGTTGGTTACAGGGCTGTTGGTTACATGAGGATACCCAGGGTCATTTCAGGTACTTGTTTCAAGTTTGACATTGCGTGACATCAGTGAAACCGAACGTCACGATCTAGAGATGTAAAATATTTTCAGGAACGAGTTCACATGGGGCCTTGCCCACCATATTGGTGTTGCTATGTTCATTAATTTTTAGTATTTCACGGGGTTGATTGACTACCAGAGGGCATCTTATTCAAGCTGCCACCAGAGCGTATTTGAAAAAGATGAGATGTAAGCCACTTCGTTGTCTCGAAACATTTCACGACAAAGTGGAAAATGTGACCGTTTAT